ATGAATAAATCACGAAAACATTAATTCACACTTTTCTTACCAATTCATTTAACGTCAAGCCTATAAATCTGCCAGGCTGGGGATACCCGAAGTTTGGGGGATGTGAAACCTAGAATTCCTGAAGATTCAAATGACAAGTCAAAGATTTGGAAGCTCACTGAAATTAACGAACCATCTCAATGTAGGTCCTTGAGGCTGCCTGAGAACGTGCGAGTAAACAAGGTAAGTCATTCACGCTATACGCTGAAATTTAGCTTACATTCCTTTTCATATTGCTTCTCTAAATTGAGTTATAGAGTGTTTTTTGGGTTTAGTTTGAGCATCGGTAGCTTGAGATTTTCTGGGGATCCTTTGTTATTTCTTCTCTGACTATGCCTTGTTCTTGATGTACTCAGATATCTAGGTTGATCTACACAAATTCTGGAAGTGCAATCTTGGCATTAGCATCAAATGCAATTCATCTGCTATGGAAATGGACGCGAAGCGAGCGTAATTCAACTGGCAAGGTATCATAAGATATTGTCAGTTTTCTGTTTGCTATCTGGAGCCTCTTTCATTTGGCATAATCAACACTTTCCCATCTTGCAGGCAACTGCAAATGTTTTGCCGCAATTATGGCAACCATCAAGTGGCATTCTAATGACCAACGATGTTGCTGACACTAGTTCTGAAGAGGCTGTGCCCTGCTTTGCTTTATCCAAAAACGATTCTTACGTCATGTCAGCTTCTGGTGGAAAGATATCCCTCTTCAATATGATGACATTTAAGGTAACTTATATTACCTTTCGATCGGTCATTGCAATTATTTTCTGGTGAGTTATACCTATGTCAACCTTCCTTGCAACTGCAGACAATGACAACTTTCATGCCGCCACCACCTGCTGCCACATTCCTTGCCTTTCACCCACAAGATAACAATATAATTGCCATTGGCATGGATGATTCCACAATTCAAATTTATAATGTCCGCGTAGATGAGGTATAATACCCTCTGGAACCCACCTATTCTCTAATTAAACCTTGTGGCAATCATTATGCAATCAAATCTTTGGATGCTGCAGGTAAAGAGCAAGCTTAAAGGCCACTCTAAAAGAATAACTGGCTTGGCCTTCTCTCACTTACTGAATGTGCTAGTTTCATCCGGAGCTGATGCACAGGTATTTGACTATGCCATGTCGTTGGGTCTGTGAATTCTTTTTGTTGTATGGTTTCACCTTATTCAGATATGTAGCAATCTAATTATGTGTTGAATTGCATGGGTTGACTGAAGACTGACCCAGTATAAAGATTCTTGTAATTTGAGCTTTGCACCATTTATCTCAACTTCCTAGTGAACACGCTTTGCCCGTGTTTGGGCCTATCGATGTTTGGCGAATTCTTACATTTGAGCCACTTATTTGTTTGTTGCTCATCCAGCTGTGTGTGTGGAGCTCTGATGGGTGGGAGAAGCAGAGAACAAGAGTCTTACAACTTCCAAATGGGAGGCCATTATCCTCCCAGTCTGACACTCGTGTACAGTTTCATCAGGACCAGGCACACTTTCTTGTCGTGCACGAGACTCAGATTGCAATATACGAGACTACAAAGCTTGAGTGTGTAAAGCAGGTCCTTCTTTTACCTCTATCCTGTTCGTTCATCTGTTCTTTGTTTTTTGAAACAACGCCTTACCCACTTCTCTGTTGTTAATTTACATTTTAGTGGACGCCACGGGAATCTGGTGCACCAATCTCTCATGCAACATTCTCTTGCGACAGTCAAATGATATATGCCAGCTTCTTGGATGCAACTGTCTGCGTGTTTACCGTTGCTAATCTCAGATTACGTTGTCGAATTAGTCCTTCAGCTTATCTTCCTGCTAGTGTGAGGTATTTCTCTCACTCCACTTTGCCGTTTAGGTAATGCTCCCGCATTAAGGGTATGCATAAGTGGGTAAAGTTTTGCTGTAATGAGCTCTCTTGGAATGGGCATGTTGACTTGATCCGTTGGTTTATTCTGTCACCCGTTCGTCATCTCTTTTATTTTAAAAAGCATAGGATGAGTTAAAAGGATACAAATCGTGTGCTGTGAATGAAAAACACAATGTTAGCTTCAGCTAAACACGATGAGAATTTCCTGCTTGGCGGTTCTTACTCGTTCAAATTTCGAACTCACCATCTCCATTTTTTCTTACCTTTCATTCTATCATTCTTTTCAGCAATGCTTCCGTACAACCACTAGTGATTGCAGCACATCCTCAAGAAGCAAACCAATTTGCTTTAGGGCTGTCAGATGGCGGGGTTCATGTCTTCGAACCCCTCGAATCCGAAGGAAAATGGGGTGTGCCTCCTCCCATCGAAAATGGATCAGCATCAAGTGTGCCGACGACTCCATCGGTTGGAGCTTCAGGTTCAGATCAAGCCCCAAGATGATCGAGCCAGCTAGCACGAGTACTTTTACATGCTTGGTTGCTGGCTCTCCAACTTTAGGTATACTTCAGATTTTAACTGGTTGACCTTTTTTTTTTCCCTTCCTCCTGGGAACATTTGTTAGCGCCATGTTGGTTGTATCTTGTAATTTTTTTTTTATGGTTGATTTTTCATTTCCCCCAGTTTGTTGTTCATGATATGTAGTTATACTCAAGGAAACAGCAAAAAGATGTAGATTTTATCTTCTTTCCTCTGATTCTGTGTAAGTTAACATTCTGCAGGAGTATTATTACTAACTGTCAAAGTGACCTTCTTACTCATAATTCTTTGTCAATTTTTCTTCTCTTCCTTTCATGAACCTATACTGTTATTAGCTCCCCATGGTGCCCCCTTGACTCCATTTTTACTTTCTGATCGTGCTGTTCATTGCTTGAGTTGTGTTCTGGTTGGTTGCATATTTGCTCAACTTAAATTGGAGTTCATTTGCATAGTTAGGTTCTATCAGTCAAAAGATTTCTAAGGATTGGAGACTTAATTTCAGTTTGGAGGGGAAGAATCCTTTGGTGATACCATGCTGTAAGAGATATTGCCTCAACTAGCTCAACAAATTTGGTCATATATAGGTGATTCCCGATTGGCATCATGGTTCGGTTCGGTTCGGTCCGGTCGTGTGGTCATGGACAATAACCTTAATACCTACTTCCTCATTGAGTACAAATGCATAGGGATTTCGCCTTGAATAAATGGGGAGGGGGATTCATCTTTCAAAGAACGATGGTGGAAGCTCTGTATCTATTAGATTGAGGAGCGTTTGCTTCGCTAATGGTGATAGTTTGACAGTTTCAGTTGGTTCTTCTAAATCCAGAGTCTAACAGATGGGGTTTGTGGCATTATCTTTCAGGGTATGAAGAGTAGAGATAAAGATCTCGAGCCAATATTCGAGTACCAGGTGCTATGGCGTTGAAGTAACCCATTCCATATTCCCAGGAAAAGCTCGAACGACCTTCAACAAAAGGGTACTTGTACCTGAAACCAACACAGGTGGGTAGGTAGAGAATACCTAGGGACACGGGACAACTATCTCTAAGGAACTCGGCAAAATAGCCTCGTAACTTTGAGAGAAGGGGTGTCTCCTCACAAATGGGGTCGCAGTGTTTACCAAAAACACAGGTTTTTGCAAAATCATCGGCCCCCAGGAGTTTCTTGTAAATCGTACAAACGAGGTAAAAACTATCTTTAAACTAGAATTTTGTTAGAATGTTGAATGAATTTTTGAAAGAATTTGAGATATGTATAATAACATATTACTCAAGGAAATGAGCAATTTATTCTCAATCTTTGTAGAAATCGTAGCTAGCAAGGAAATACTCTAATATAGGTTGACTCCAAAAGTTGGCGATAAAGTCTACCATATTTAAAATAATATATTTTAATATCGAATGTGTTAAAAAAATAGATCATATTTAAATAAAATACTTCAATAGTATTTAACTAATTTGAATTTAATTATATATATTTAATGTATCAAATATAATATATACATATATTTTTAAATATTAATTTCTAACCCTTTAAATCAAATACATTTTTCTCATTTATATAAAATATTAATTAAAAATTTCAAATTTTCCTTTAATTAAATTTTCTTTGGAGTGTTGTTACGAGACCACACGAGAACTTTATGAATTTATAGGTTAATAACATAAAATTAATTACCGAACTATTTAATCAATCGATTTTCATGCATTTTAGATGGAGTTGAACTCTTATGAATAAATCGTGTTCAGGGAAATAGATTGTTCTCAAGTTCTTAATATATTTTATAGCTATGATTACATATTTCTCCTTAAATAACCTTAATTATTTAATGAACAATTCGTTTATTTTCTAAACCATAAACTAAATCTATCGGTTAGTGAAAGTGGACTCCACTGTTTAGGTCTAGAAATTAACCATCGAGAAATTACTCATCTACTTTATTTATACGAAATAAGTGAATTTTATCTCATTACACTTGCCTCCCATTTTCTATTTGAACGAGTACCTACAAGCGCAGACATATTGAATTGACTATAAAAGTTATTCACGCCCACCCAAATCAAAAACAGACTCTCACAAATACGAGTTCATCGCATGTGATTATCCTAATAAATATTAATCTTCTCCATTAATGAATTTATTAAAAGATTATACCAATTCCATGTCTCAACAAGGTGAGTAATAAGGGTCCTTGGGATAAGACACCATCTTTTCGGCCGACCATAAACAAATCAAATTTATCATAATAACCTCGAGTCGTATACACCATATAAAATAATAAATTATTTTATTAATAAATAAGAAAATGTTGAATTAAAAAAATTGACACTATGCCACGTCCTACCTGTTCCATGACTCAAATTTTATACAAAAAAAAAAATGAAAACTTTGGAACATATAACGATAAATTATATAAATAACGGTACTATAATTTTACAAAAATAGAGGTATTTCTACTCGAAGAGTATTTTTTTATTTTGTTATTTATTTATAATTTAGCATTTTTTACTAAATTAATAAAAAAGAAAAAAGAAAATGTAATGAAATATCTAGAGGCGAGGAACAAGGGCTGCACGCAGGCGACATCGGGAAGCATCCTCAAAATAATCTTCATCCTTCTTCTCCCTCTTCTTCATCTTCTTCGTCTTCTTCGTTTTGAATTCTGATAGAGATACCATTTTCTTATCTTCTTCACTCTCCCTGCCTGCTGCTTCCCCGGCAATGGCTTCCATTTCTCTGGACATTGCTTCCGCCGCTTTTATGACCCTCACTTCTACCCGCTCCAACCATACTTCTACTCGGCTTCGTTCTGCTTTTCTCCCATTTCGCCCTTTCACCTTCACTCTCACGTCTTTTCAATTACCACCTCTCGCCCCCCTCCACTTCTCTGTCGCGTCCAAACGAACCTCGCGAAGATTCTCGGTCGTCTCCACAGCTACTCCCACATCGGAGAGCGATGAATCCGATGTTTTGACGAAGATTCCGCCCGATGACCGGATTCCAGCTACGATTATCACTGGATTTTTGGGTTCTGGGAAGGTATGAACTCTCTCTCTCTCTCTCTCTCTCTCTCTTCTACCGTGTCCTATGGGAGTAGAGTTCGGAGTGTTGTTTTGGTGTCTTATGCTGTTCGGATTGGTATTAAGGGAGTGTTTCCCTACACCAGTTCCGAAAATATAGTTCAAATCCTAAAAATATAGAGGTTATTGATGAAATGAATTTCATTCCGAATTCTAGGGGCTTTTGTTTGTTTCCATTTACATCTTATAGATCCTTGTTTTGGGTTTTTCTTTTTTTTTTTCATTTCCATGAAATTTCCAATCCTGCTGTTTGTTTACTGTCGCCCTTTGAGTTAAACAATATGAGGGGCAGAGGATTCGAACCTTTAACCATTTGATATATGTTTTATGCTAGTTGAACTATGATTATGATTGAATTTGAGTCTTTGAAGCAAAGAAGTGACTTAGAAGAATTGCAATTATTCGTCAAGTACTTGGGGACAAAATGAGGGATTATTTCGTTAAGTTTCTAACAGTGGAGAGTGCATTGGGTTATTATTTGGAAAATATAAGAAAATTTTTGGATCTTGCAGACAACATTACTTAACCATATATTAACAGCAGAGCATGGGAAGCGAATTGCGGTTATTGAAAATGAGGTACGAGATAAAACTTTCTGTGCATGATCGCACAACTCCTTCTGAATTATATATTTAACTTTGTTTCATGTCTTAAAACTACAGTTCGGAGAAGTAGATATCGATGGTTCTTTGGTTGCTGCAAAAACTACTGGTGCTGAGGATATTGTTATGTTGAATAACGGATGTCTTTGCTGCACTGTGCGGGGTGATCTTGTCCGGATGATATCAGAGCTGGTTAATAAGAAGAAAGGAAAATTTGACCATATTGTGATCGAGACTACAGGTATGAAGGGTCTCCCAATCACAAGAACAGAGTTGTGTAGTAACGAACGCACGTCTGTCGTATTTATTTATGATAATTTCATGTGACGTTTTCTAATATATTCTATTACATCATTGGAATATGTAGGATTAGCAAATCCATCACCAATCATTCAGACATTTTATGCTGAGGACTCGGTTTTTAACGATGTGAAGTTGGATGGTGTTGTCACGTTAGTTGATGCCAAACATGCAGCATTTCACTTGGACGAAGTTAAGCCGGAAGGAATTGTCAATGAGGCTATAGAACAAATTGCTTATGCTGATCGAATCATAGTAAACAAGGTATTCATGATAGATGACTGTTTTAGCCCCTCGAGATATAATGTTCAAACAAGTCAAATTAATTTGCGAGTGGGTTTTTCTCCAAGCCCAAGCATGTTCACAATTTTATACACTAAATTTAGTGCCGTAAGTTTTTTTTAATCCCGTGGCAATTTTGATAGAAAGTCTGCTTGTTATTCTGATTGGAAGGATTGTGCATTCAAGTTAATGTCAATGTCTGCCCAACTGATAATGTAATTTAGAAAATTTGGTTGTGGTACTCTTAACTAGGTGTCACAATCGCTCTCTGTCAAGACTCGCAACGCGATTGTGCAGCACTTATCTTTACTCTCACCCTCGAGTAAGTCAACAAACTAGAATTTGGTCGCTGGCCTCTAGCCTCGTTCTTAAGAAAAGGTTTTAGCAAATGGGGAAACAGAAAGTTTTAGAAAACATTTGGAAATTGATTTTAGAAAGCATGTTATATGTTAGCAAGCAAATAAGTAAGAACCACGACTTGGATAGCGTATAACCCGAGTTGGAAGAATTTACAGCTAGTCATATCCCTTTATAGTACATTTTGAGTAATTTCAGCCTTTGTAGATGTGAACATGATTTTGGCTAACGATCATACACCCTCAAATTGACATAACAAACAAAAATGTTACTGATCTAACTATATGAATTAAACAAGGAAAGTAGAATAGCAACCTTAACATTTTTCATTGAAGTAATTTTTAGTTTTTGGGCAAAATGCTGGGCTAATTCATGAACTTTATACCACTAGACTGATCTTGTTGGCGAGCCACAAATTGCTGATCTGGTCCAACGGATAAAGGTTAGTAACACTCAACACTTTCTTTTTGTATATTGATTCATTAGCTTCCGAATACGTCATTTATGTTTTTTTTTATTCCGATGGTAGAAAATAAACCGGATGGCTGAACTGAAGAGGACAAAGTATGGCAAGGTTGACTTGGATTATGTTCTTGGGATAGGAGGCTTTGATTTGGAGAGGTAGTTTCATCCCATCTAAAATTGTTTCCATCGTCATTGAAAGAATTCTGATTCTTTTGTCATCACTCTTTCTGAATGCTAACACCTTGTTGGATACAAATATTCATTTTTATTCTCCTTTATATTCCATTTATTGTGTTAGTTACATTTGTCTTATTGCCATTTTTTATCTTCCTGGTACTAATTTGTTCATACTTACCATTCCTGCTTAATTTTGAATGGTTAAGTTTGGATCTTCTCCTCATCCTCTTTTCATCTTTTCAGGATAGATAGCGCCGTTGATACTGAATCGAAGGAAGACCATGCCAGTCATAGTCACCATGACGAGCACGAGCACGACCATGACCATGATCATGACCATCACCACCACAATCATGAACATGACCACAAGCACGGTAAAATTATGCGCTCATATAATCATGTCACATCCATTCTGCATTATTTGACTGATACATTTTATATTCAGCCCTGCTAGTCTTCAATCAAATTGTCTTTTGGAGACTCGTTCATACATGGGTAGCCTCATGATTTTTGCCTTCTATTCTGTGAAAATGTTGCATCATCCAGATTTTTATTGACGATTTACCGAATCAAGTTCATTTTACAGCAAGAATTTACAAAGAACTCACGTATTTTGTTCTCATTTATAACGTCCCTATTGGTGAATTAAACTTGCTTATGACTTTATAACACATTACTCAAAATGCAATGCTTGAATAGATTGCTCAGCATTTTGATCATGGAAGTGTAGTACTAAGTTTTTGCACATCCTTAGTTTTCTGATCTAGCGTCATTTTTTCAACTATTCACTGCAGATCATCATTCGCACGATCACACGCACGACCCTGGCGTTTCTTCTGTCAGTATTGTCTGTGAAGGAATCTTGGATCTTGAGAAGGTTAGTGTCGAGATGGTTTTTTTTTTTTTTTTTTTTTTTTTTTTTTGTCATCAAAATGAACTCTAGTATTCTTTACATTGGATTAATAATTTTTTCATGCCTTCCCGTATTACGAATGTTCGAGTATTTTCTTTTAACTATTGTTTCTTAATATACGATGTCGATGGGTATCGATAAAATCGACAAATACTAGCTTGTTTTGCTCAACTGAAAGATTTTAACCTTTTTGTTGGTATCGATCAGGCAAACATGTGGCTCGGTACGTTATTGTTAGACCGTAGTGATGACATATACCGGATGAAAGGTCTCCTATCAGTTCAGGGTATGGATGAGCGATTCGTGTTTCAGGTGAGTGAGAAAAATCAATGAAACTAATGACTAATGATGTCTTCCTGTTCCATGACTGAACAAATCTATGCTTCACTGAACCATCAAACATGACTTAGGTCATCTTTAGTTTTTTAGTTCATGGTGTCAATTTTAGAAGATTCATGGTATTAATTCCCTTCTCTTCGTTTCGAGTTCGGTAATGTGTTCTTTCCGTTGGGTGTGACAGGGTGTTCATGATATATTCCAAGGTTCGCCAGATCGATTATGGGGTCCAGATGAGCCGAGAATCAACAAGATTGTGTTTATAGGAAAAAACTTGGATGCAGAAGAGTTGGAGAAAGGCTTCAAAGCATGTTTACTGTGATAACTGATTATTTATGGAAACATAACATGATTTTGGAAAAATATTGCAGTTGAACCATTAATAGAGTTTTTTTGTTTGTTCTCCTCCATTTTAATGATAGCATTAACTAATATTTTCAAAATTATCAAATACATTGAATCAATCTATTCAAAATGTAGGTGATCGATCATCGAGAGGTGTAATAGTATTGTTGAGAATCACAATGATGAGATGAGAGTATGACATTGCATTCGAAGGACTTTGGCTCGAGAGAGCTACATGATTTAGTCTAGAATAGAGTAACTATAGCGAGCAAACTTGCATGGCATGGGTGGCATGTGGGCAAACAAGCTTAGGGCGAAAAATAAAAATGAAGTTTGAGTTTGTTTAAAGCTTGGCGTGTCAAAATTATGATGTTGTCCGGTTGAAAAAGTAAGACCGTAAGACCGTGATAGTTGGTCATGTTCGGATTGAAAGAGTACAACTTGATTGCGTTGGAAAAGAAACCAAACAAATGGAAGCAGAAAAGTTTCAGAAGGTTGGCAACTTCCCGGATTGAAAAATTGCGAACTTGGAAGCCTCCGAATACGAATAATCGATCCCGTTCTCCTTCAAAAACCCTTCCAACAAATCCATAACTCGTTCTGGTTCCTCACTCTCGCATTCCATCTCATAATTCCTTCCGAAATCGAAAATCGTTTCATCCAATTCCAATTTTAATCCCTTCCATTCATAAACTCTTCTCACGTTCCTGAATCCGCCCAAGCACACGAATCCCTCTCTCCCAATCCCGTACTCCTTTTTCACTCTCTCCAAAATCTTCGACCATTCCATCAACTGCATACGATTTGGTTCCGCCACGCAGGCGCGGCCGATCGACGGCTCCAGCGGCTCTTCATGCTCTTCGATGCGGCTGATTCCGCCGGAGATTACAGGTTTCGCTTTGAGAGAGAGGACGCAGTGGCTGTCATCATCGTAGAATCGGATGCGGAGAACGGCGAGGTTGGAGGAGAGCTCGGCGTTGGCGCCGTCGAAGAAGATGTTCTGTTGATTGTGCGTCTTGATGTGGTGAGGAGAGAGAAGATCGGAGAGTTTCTGGTGAGATGAAGAATCTGGAAGGCGGAGCTTTACTTCGACCTCCATTGGTGGTTCCTTTAGGTTGGAGAAACGCTCTCTGGCGCTGGATTCTGCGCGGAGTGAAAGAGAGGGATTGTGTTTGGGCGGTGAGAAACCTCTCAGACGGTGGTTGTTGAAGCGGAGGAATGTGGGGCGGCGGAGATGGAAGGAGTGGCCGGAATTCGGAATCAATCGGAGACTCATTGTTAAGTGGTTTTGGGCGGAGAAAATAATTGGATTAGGCTTTAAATTTGAACCACTCCCGATCATATCATCCTCTTTGCTCCTAGATTCTTCTTTTGGATTTCCCACTCAAAATAATTTTATTATTATTATTTTTTAAAAAAATTAAAGTACATTAAATTAAATTAAATAGGCCACTTTTTAAAAATATATATATACATTGAGAGTAACAAACATTTCTATTAAATATTTTTAAAAGTTTAAACTAAGTTTAAGTTTAGTTACAAATTTAATTACGAGATGCTATATCGTAATTTATAGATGTTCTTAACTCATCAATTTATTAATTGAAAAGAACCAAAATCCAAATTTGAGTTTAGTTGGGGCCAATAGGCGGGTGTGCATGCCTTTCTCCGGTTTAAATTTTTTATAATCAGGCACATGTTATTAAAAGTTGAAGGATTAAAGTTAAGTTTAAACAAAAAAATCTAAAAGTTCTCGAATCAGAATTAGAATCTTTGAACATCACAAGCCAAATAAAATGATATCAAATATGAAGAATTCATTTCTCTAATAGCCCATATAAATATAGCTCAATTGGTTAAAGTACGAACTCCCAATACTTACATTCTTGAGTCTCTCCAAATAGATCATTTTTCTCTTGGAAGATAATCAGAGAATGCCAACAAATTTGGTTTGAAATGTTTGAAGACGAGAGATATATTTGGTTGGTGGTGAAAGATTTGTGATAGGCCAGCACCACGTCTCCATTCCTGTTTTCTCCACCAAAATCCACACCACACCACATAAGATCGATCAGTCATATGGGAGCTGAGGGCTTTAAGTAATGCCACAAAATGATGCAAACCTTAACGTGTATCTATGAATTTCAGTTCCTAATCCTATTCTTTCATCCACAGCGAGGCTATGGAATTCATGTAAAACAAAACAAAAACAAGCTCTCTTTGTTCTGCAAACAATGTTCAGACAATCTATATTCCATTCGAAGTATGAATTCAAGAAATTTGAAGTATATCAGAAGATTCGAAGCATTTTACCTCAGGGAGTTGGAGTGTCTCATCATGATCTTCAGCTACCTCGTTACAGAGTTGATGGTGTTTGCTTATGCTCTGAAATTGCTGGTTTATCTCATACACCAGATTTCTTCTTTCCTCCAAACTCTCAAACAAAGCTTTCTTCATAGCTCTAGTATCTTCTTCAAGAAGGCTCAGTCTTCTACTGATCTTCTCAACTTCACAAGGTTCAACTCTCCAACTGGGACCGTCTTTTGATGAGTTTCTCGTAACCCCATTTTGATCAAATGCTCTTAAAGCCTTCTCATGGCGTGAATCATCTACTTCCAATCCATGCCCAAGAGGGCGTTTTTGGTTTTCTGCCATTGTAGCTGCCTTCGTAAACAGTCAGCTTCATCAATTTCTGAGGCCAGTTCGTAAGCTCTCTCGGTGGTGGTGTAAAGAAGGTGGAACACAAGAAGCCTTTTTCTTACTTGGCCTCTAAAAATTTTCGAACTTTTGGGCTTCGGGGAGAGAGAGAGAGAGAGAGAGAGGAGATTGTCCTTGGGAAACAGTGCCTATGGAGCAGTGAACCGGATGATAATAAAGTTCAGCTTCAACAGTATTGGAAAAATAAAACACGTCGAAAAGCTTTATACTTTTCATGTTCTCAACAAACGAGAGATTAAGGGAGAAAAAAAAAAAAAAAGAAAGGAAAAAAAATGAAGCGGTTGGGTAGGAGACATGATTGTGACATGTGAATGAATGTTGCTTATCTGAGAGGGTTGCAGTGGCAAGTAACCAAGCTTCAATGATACAAGAATATACTCAAAAGAACATACCAAAATTTGCAGCACATTTCTCAAGATGAAGCGTTTAGAGTAAAACCTGTCATCGGGATGAAGATGGTAAGTCGGTGGATACCATGCGTCTCTAATGGCGGCTTTTGGAGGGTTGTCGCTACACGCTGGCAGGTTTTGGCTCCATTTCTACAGAAGCTTTGGCGTCATCAAAATCCTGCAGCATATTAAAGCCATCGACCTTATCTTCACCATATAAGCCAAATATGATTGTCTTAGGAAGTATATTGTATAATGAATAACCCAGAACCAATTCAGATGATCCTCATACATACATACATTTAAGACAATCTAAATGGCTAATCAGATTCCCTCAATTTATGATAATAGATTTCTCCTACTTATCATGTCTCAATCACTCGATCTTCTGAGATCAGTCGAAGTTAGAGACGGTAGTTGATGCAAATTTGACAAGAAATAATTGGTTTTAGGGAGATTTTCATTAAGATAGTTCGTAATCTTTGAGATCAATATCTGTCTACAAAAAGACGAGCCACAGGCTTAAGTTGAGTAAATAATTGCATAAATGAACATGTTTGAGGAATTGAAGTTGTCCATCGACAATGAACATTGCTTGAGAAAGACATTGATATATGAAGCTTCAGCTAGTAATCTATCGTTTCCAAACTTCACCATCTTAATCGACAGGCACCTCAACCTCCATTTTCAGGCCAGAATTGCCAAGAATCTGCAAAAGAACAAAAGTACATGTAACATATATATTGCAGCACAAGAAATATATGAATCAAGCAAATTATGAATGATTCTCAGCAAGTTCAGATGACAGAAGGCCGTACAATAATAGTTTATACGGGATCTCAAAATTCATGGAATAGTTGACATAGAGGTAGTCACCATGTGGTGAATAATGAAGTAGTTCTTTTAAAGTGTAGAAAAGAAGCAACTCGACCATGATTAGGTGGAACGTGTTTGTTCAGATGCTGAAGAATCAGCAAGTTTAGATTTGAAATGACTAAACTTCAACAACGAGCTACTGTTATTGATAATAAGACTTCAAATATGATTGTGAATGTTAATAACTATTCATGTGTTTCCTTGACATTTTTGCTACTTTATCTTTGTGGTGATATTTGGTTAATTTTAGGCGATTTATGTACATTTTTTCAATTTGATTAATCCAAGTTTCAAATAAGTATCAATTATTTTGTGTTTGTACAGTGTCAGATAAGCATGTCACTATGCCTTGTTGGTCCAAATGAAAAACAGTGAGATTTATGATAGTAAGAACAAACCATAACGAAATCCTCCTGGGTTAACTGGGATTCCTTTGAGTAACCTGCTTCCTCCAGAAGTTGGCTCAAGACTTGCTACAAAAGAGATAAAAGGGCAAAACTTTAGAACATGCCCTATCATGAGCTATGGAAAATATATACAAATCTCCCGATGAGTGCCTCTTAAGATTTAGTGCAGCGTCTTGAGTACCTTTCTTTGTTCATCAGACATGAAGGGACCAGACAAATCCTGTAGCACTTCTATTATGTCATTGAAAGACACCTTCCCATTAAAGTCCACATCGTACACTTTGAACATAACTAGTGAAACAAGAACAAATTATAAAGAAAAGATTTTAGCTACTCAAATTTGTAATACGTTAAAGGAGTATAATGTTAGTGGCTGTAATAAAGAACAAGAAAAGAAAAAAACAATGAAAGAGTGCCCTGAAGGAGATATAACTACTAAAGGCAGCCCCCCTCCACTAGAAAGAAAGAATGCTATTTAAGAGAGAAGGTTATAGTCCAACTTGGTGAAATACCTTCCCGCACCTAATTGATCCAAAAGTTCGAAGATATACATTTTGACCCAATACTCTTACACTATCCAAGAAAATATCAAAATGGCTACTCAAAATCATGCACATAACTTTTAGGATAAAAAACCGTACATCAACTAACTAAAAAAAAAAAAAAACCAAATTCACTACGTTACTCTATCTACCTAAGCCCTATTGAGCCAATTACAATACTTTAAATTTGAAAACTCCTCAATAGAATCCCATTTGACAACTTTTTCTCACTGTTTCATACTTCTGGAAGAACACTACAATCATATTGGATAGTTATTTCACAATTCCTAACACCATCGAATCCAAAACATAAGAATACGAGCATTGTTTTGACAGAAGTGCAAAAGGGGAAAAAAGGATCTTAAACATTGTGTTTAAATATTAGAATGTCTAAATCATGTGATAAAGGGTGTACAATCAAGTATGGAACGTCGGAAATATAAACCAAAATTCTGCTCCAAACTTTGAAAACCACTTTTGAATTACAAGAGGGCACTATCAAACAAGCCAATGTCGAGTGTCATCAGACAGGATCTAAACAAATGGAAGACTGCATTTTATACGTACATTCAATTTTACGTTGGATGCTAGCTTTAGCACTAAATGCAGACAAAAATGCCACGAAATCTTTGAAGTTCAAACCATCAACCATCTTCAGCACCCTCTGAGGAATACCAAAAGAAAAGGATAAATTATCATTCACCAATTGAAGTACACGAACTTCGCAAACTCAGGCTCAGAATCTAACTATTTCAAGAAATTAATCATAGAAATCGTTGAAATAACCTGAGAAAGAGGATTCATGGCGAATTCTGGGACTGATAAGAACTCGTCGGACAAGATGTATCCCTTCGAGTTTCGATCGAGTTGACAAAATCTCTGATACAGTGACACTATTTCTTGTTGCGTAACTGAATTGCAGACCCAAAATGAACGAGAACCGAGAAAATTCGAAGCGTAGAGTATCCAAAGAAAGAATAAAGAACAGAAATCGAAAACACTCACACAGATTATCGCAGTGCTGTTGAACTTCTTCAATATCATATTGAGTGAGCATCGAGGAGGAATTTCCCATTGTTCGTCGCTGAGATTCAATGAACGCAAATCAAAATCTACGTTCTCACCTCGAGAAAGAAGTAGCAAAATGTAGGCAATTTGTACGGAGGAAGATTGCCTAGAATTTGCTACAGAAAGAGGCGAAATCAAAACAACTGTAGAAATCACCGAGGATCAGAAAGTCGTCAAACTTCAGAGAACGAACTAATTGAATTTTATGGAGTTATTCGTTGATTGATCAGAAAATTTTCCACGAACCCAAACAGAAAGTGATCAGAAATGGTAAAAGGATCCGAGTAGTGGCCGATCTGGGGCGGAGAACTCCGAATTCGGCTGTTTTTGTTTGATTTCAGGACATGTTCAGATATTATTCTGAAAGTAATAAAATTAATTTTTTAAAACATGCTTAGTATTTATTAAAATTGTTATAAATGTTTTCAAAGTGATTATTTATATTATTTTATTTTATTTTGCAAAGAAAGAGATGGGAGCTCAAATCACAAACAAAACACAATAACAAAAGTTATAAACAAAACAAAAATAGAGTCACCGGTCGACTTTATTAATATAGATATTTAAGTATTCTTACCCATTAGATCTTTAGTATCACTCTCATTCAAATGTAATATCGATGAATACGTATATTTCTCTTTTATTCGGACATTATATACCCACCAATTTTCGCCTTGGTTCTTTTCGGGACTACATCTTACGTGGAGAGGTTCTACTTTAATACCATTTGTAACACCCATGTCCGATTTGGAATAGGTGCCCAATCTAAATTCCAAATCATGGTCAATCTAAATTCCAATTCATGGTCATGCAATGTTACAAAATAGAGAAACCTTCAATAGGACGTGGTTTAGAGACAAGTCAACGTGGAAGTTGGTGGGCATATCTAACTGCAATCATTTCTGAATGAGAGTGATCATAACAATAAAATAATTAAAAAATGATCCAATCCTAACAATATAATAATTTAAAAATGATTAAAATAATTCCTTTTCGGTGGTTCAATCATAAAAATTTCAAAGTTTCAAAGTTGTGCTTAGCTCGAAGGAAATTCTATAATGATGATCTCTTGAAAACTTTATTAAGAAACATTTGAGTGAATGCAAAACATCCAAAACGAACTTGTATAGGTTTGAGGAGATAGTTACTTTTAGAAGTAGATGTAGTGATGATGTCGCAAGGAATGTCAAGGCGGGCATGTGGTGTTATCAAGAGAGCAAGAAGAAAATTTTCCAATTGACTTAATAAGGATTAATATATATGTTTGGACTAATATTTAAATTTAAACTTATAGAATCATAGTTAACATTTGTACCTATATTTCTAGAGAATTATCTAAATTTGATATGCATAAAAACAGCTGAAGTCGTCTGTAGTTTATACAATATTCCAAAAAATGAAGCATGCATAGCTTGGACAACAGGACATGAAAGCGTTGCGTGTTATTGAAAAGTCCACCAGAATCCATTCTGGTGGTAGTAAATATGAACTTTTTCCTTTCTGGAAGGTGGATGAGATTTGACAAAATAGCTATTAATCAAACCAACAATCTATGGCAGCTTGATTGATTGAATACACCCCAGATTTGCATTATTGGATGAAATAAATAGAGGCTTTTCAGCAAGCATCAAGATCCCGGCACGGAGGCGGTTTTGGGTCGCTTAACAAAGTCGTGTTTCCTCCTTCTGGTCCACAACGTATGCGTCCTGGGTTTTGTGTTCCGTGCTGAATATGGGGCATGGATGTTACATATTAGATCATGCAAGACATCATGAAGGAAATCTGATAACTAGAATGGGAACTCGACATTTCAACATCGACATCGGCTAGGCTAGCTAGTTAATTTCCTTACCGGTGGTTTCTCCCCTCTTCTCAACATCTCTACTATCTCAACCACCCGTTTAGGAGTGACATCTTCCTGAAATTGAAGAAAAACACATGAATTGAATTCAAGATAATACTTGTGATTTCAGCACAAAGAGCCTATTTTGCGTTGGATAAATGAAAATATTATGCTGCACCCACATAGTAATTGTATGCGTATCCTTCAGATCCGTTCGAGTAATCGGCGACTGTGATCATTGGAGCATTAACACAACATCCCTACAGAAAATAAGCAGATAGCAGATCATCATTAACGTAGATAACTCAACACATGGCCAGACATAAATACCAAAAACAAACAGGCCAAAAGACAAATCAAGCTGAAGTACTAATAATCGGCCCTCTTGGTAGTTTGTCTCCACCATTTGTGGGCTTTCTTTTTGTATGACCTCGTTTTCTTTCATTTTTTCTCAATGAAAATTTGGTTATTTATTAGAAAAGTATATAAGAAGGTCGGGGATGATGCCAAGGAAATAGAATAAGAGAAAAGGAAAGTAATCGCACCATGCATTCCATTTCTCCAACAGAGAACAGACCATCCTTTGTTACTTCTGCACATCACAAACATATTATAGGTTTATCTTCAGATCTATATACCTTCGAAGTTTTAATGTATAAATTGCAAAATAAGAAAAGTCTTGATTATTATTCTAAAAGGTTTGTTGTAAAAATTTGGATTGATGTTCATGTGGATCAAATATTTTGAACATATAGGGACCAGCTGAACAGTAATAAGTTGATTAAGTTCAACTCTAGACTTCTAATCGCTTGCAGTAATTATGAATTCTACCATGGCCTTTCATGAGCAAACAGCTACATATCACTCACCGTTGCGCTTCACTCCCAAGTGCTTCAGTAAAGCCTCTTCTATTTCCCGAGAGCCACGAATCATACATGGAGTAGTGCCACAAACTAATAAGTGGTACTTACCTACCTGAAAATCAATTGATGAAGTTCAGCAGGTTTGCTGGTAGTCACACAATTTTTAAATTTATATACTAGAAATCCAAATATAAATGAAGAAACAATATAGACTTATTTTATTCTCTCACCTTTGCTCGATTAAACATTGAATAAAATGTTGCAACTTCATATACACGGACGGGAGCAACCTCTACAACCTTAGCTACCTGAGTCAATCATAAAAGTACCTTTACAATGAAATATTGACATAACATTCTTCATAAGCAAAGGCTTAAATAAGTTTCCTATTCATACAATAAACGTCCAACTAACCAAAAGTGCATTCCTTTGTGATTAAGAACAAATAGATTTGAAGAGGCTTCGTCTTATTACGAGTCTCCCAAATAATGGAAAGCAAATGAATTGTAAATAGCTGTACATGACAAATTTAAATATAGAAAAAGCAGCAATTGTATAATTTAAGAATTTGGAGAGCATGAATCTCCTCTGTAAAAAATCGCCTTATTTAGTTTTTTAGATTATTTTCTTTTGAAGACGCTCCCAATTTTGAGATGCGCTTGTCTTGTTCCAAAGGGTGAAGTTGGGAAAAGTAGTTCAAATTAGCCAAGCTCAGGGATATCTTTTTCTAATTTATAATTAACATCTGGGATGCCTTTATATCCCTGGCCTAAAAGGTAGTGGTTATTTCAACAGAAGGCGAACAAAACCTGGGGAAACAAAAGGTTCCTTGGGACTGGGAGCTATATTCAAGATAACTTTTGGATGTTATGCACAACTCGACTGTTAGTGGAGTGCAGCAAGACAAAAGGTTCCTCTGTTTTCATGTTTGCTGTAGCAGCAGGAGTTTTCTACCAAGTCCCTGTCTATATATTGGACTTTCTCTGTATTGTTTGAGTGCAATAGTAATTTTAATATCAAAAGGTTTTCTCCTGCATTTTCCTCTATCAATATTAAAGCATTCATTCATTTTTGGGAATGCTCCAAATTACTGACACGACGTCAAATTAAAGAGAAACTTCAAAGTATAGGCCAACATACTGCATTCATTGCAGAAACAGGAAGCCATCCTCCATGCTGCTGTTGTGCAAGATCTAACAAAGGAATGACTGCAGATTGTTTATAGTTGGAGGGGTAGTGGGATAATATCTCTGCAACCTGCACATGAATACGGTAATCTAAACCATATAATTTCATTGATAATATGAAGTTAAAGAAAACATCTATCCCTATTCTGTACAACGATATTAAGCCATAAAATTAAAAAATAAAAATCAAGCACAAACCATAGGAATGGTTGTAAAACCCCGTATGGAACGTCCCAATGAATAAGCCCACTAGAAAATCTCTCTTTACAAACAAAAAAGAGTTAAGCTTCCGCCCATGACACAATGTCGAAGATGATTTTAAATCTTCATCACATTTTTGTGATAATAAGGTTTTCTAGAATCAGTTTCTAAAAGCACAGCATGTGACGAAAACAACAATGCAGACACTAGTTCATTGTATCAATCACCAAATACAGAACCCACAAGGATAGGATATTGCGGTTTCATGTACGGGTGGGGAAAGAAGACTTTTAAGCACTATCAATCAATCCTTTTGTGGAATCATGTATATTGTCTATTATATTGGTTAAATCCTCCAAAGCAACATTCTAACCATCAAAGACCCCAAAAAGATATCCATTGCATCATCCTAGTTACATACATTGGTCTCACACTTGCATTGCTCTTTCCTTTCTTGTTTAGATAAGAGGATGTGCCATAAAATTGATGGGCTCGAAGCAAGACATGGCTATAAACAACATATCGTAGCAAGTCTCCTACATCCTTTCCGGTTGTTCAATCAAATTAGCAGAATAATCCTCTCTTCTTTTTTTTTTTTTTTAATTTGTCAAAAGACAAGCCAAATACAGAAGAATATCGATCTAGAAGGCATCCAGATTTCCTAGATCAATAAAGGTTAAAACATTCTCGTCTCGGAACAAAAACGCCAGAAATCCTCAAATTCCGAGAGCATTCAAAACACCAACCTTTTTTTTGTTCGGCTCGGAGAATTCCCAGGGAAGATCGGAATAGTTATCCGGCGTATCTATATGCTGCAACACGTTAAAATTCATGATCTCAACACAAAAATTGTACATTTCACTCAATTCACGCAACACAGCGAAGAAATCAAGAAAACAAAGCACAATAGTCATGAACTCACATAGTTAAGGGCAGTTGAGAAGCATCGCGAAGTCTGCAGCAGACAAAATCTCAAATTAGGGAAGGCAATCGGGGAATGGAAGAGAGTGAAAGATAAAGTGAGATAAAACCTGACGGAAACTTTGACGGATTCCAGCTAGACGATTGGCAGCCAGGCGAGCTAGCATTTTGGGTGAGAGCGAGAGAGATGGATTTAGGGCCTGGAAATGGAGCTCGATTCAAACTCAGACTCGATATGTATACGAGAATTTGCACTAAAATAGTATTAGTCAAATATTAATAATAATAATTTAAAAAAAAATCTCTAGTAGGTCTACTTAGTTTCCGTTGGCTTTGGCTTGCTTGGGCTCGTTTCAACCATTTAAACCATCTTGAAATCAATCGGTCAATATAGCTACCATTTTAGATGAACAGGCTCTAAGCTTTATCTCAGAATGAATGAATGGTGTAATTGAAATTTGATTGACTTGAACATTGAACATAGAAACGATCGGCTAAGGTGATCTCGATAGCACCAATTTGAATTTGAAACCGGAAGTGAACCAGACATACTTAGGGGTTGGTAGGGTGAAATTGTTCTATTTGTGTTGAAATTTGTGTCATGGAGTCTCATAATTAATTGTTTAATCTTTATAATGATTTTGATTATTTTAGTACCAATTAACCATATATATCCTATGAAAAAATCTAAGGTTATCATTGTAATTTTTCAAAAAAAATGTTATTGGTATATGAAAAGATTATGTTCCGTTAATGATGTTTTATCCTAAAAACATTATTGATATAGTCAGCCTTCATGTGGAGACATGTGAGTCTATCTTATATAATGAGTTTGTATAACCCCAAATATTTAATTTATTTTTATAAATTTATTAATATTTATATTATACAACTAGGTTTAAATTTTGAGTGAGTTACGAATTCTTGTTGGTAAGAGATTGTTGTTTGATTTGCATTGAGAATGACTTTTGTACCCAATTCAATATGACGAACGTTTTGAAATAAGGAGTTAGGAACATAATCTTACGAAATGAAATTCACTTATTATCACATAGGCAACCAAACATTTTGTAAGTCTTTAAACCAAACGTTTTGAAACAATAACATATCTGACAAGATGGTTGTTGTTTGGTCGTTAGAACACTTATGGCTTACGACGTAAGCAAATCTATAGAACTTATAACCTCCTATAACCTCGAGTTTTGATATCAATTGTAATGACCCAACTTTTTAAAGTGTGATTTAGTCTCGTTCCTACCTATTTGCTATGAATTTTCTTCCAAATTTAATTGAAATGATATGACTAAAATATATATTTCCAACGATTCTTGAAGGAAAAAAAAAAACATCTACCAATGCTTGCCGTGAACAAAGCAATTGGCAGTCCCTACTAGGAGAAGTTAGTAGTTTATTTTTCAGTCGAGCAGCTTCGCCTTCGCCTCTCACCTTTACAGTCGAGCAACTTTGCCCTCAGAATATTGATCTCACAGCAGAAGTACAGCGCTCGTGATTTCCTGATTTTGGTCCACCGTTTGGTTGTAGTTTCATACCATTTTTTCCTTATATCATATGATATTAATTAGAAAGCTTGGTCATGACAAATATTGGTACCTGGTTTTACAAGTTCCAAGCGACGGCACAGTTGCAAACTTGCAGCCCAAAACCATTTTGTTGCATGTTATACACATTTTTTCAGATGAAGAACAGAACAGTACCTGCAATACTCAACTCACCAAACAATTACTTCCTCCACCAAAATCATTTCTTCTTTCTTCAGTCACTTTCAAGCTCTGTCTCTTCACTTTTAGACGACATGGTATGAACCTCATGACATTTGCCGCCGCTCATCACGTTAGCCAGCTCTTGTATGGAGCAAGAACTGCTTCGTCTCATCTTATCACCGAGTATCTCGACCTGATCCTTGAAGCCTATCCCCAGAAGCCGATTCTTCAACAACTCCACAGTAGCAATATATGGAGGTATTCCCTCGTCAATCATCATCTCAAAGTACTTGCACGCTTCTTCTAACTTCCATTTTTTCTTGCAGAGCCCATGAATCATGACAGCATAAGTTGAAACAGAAGGGTAAAATCCTCTATCTCCCATACTCCCCCACACTTCATTGGCTCTGTCGAATCTTCCCACTCTTATCAGCAACTTCAAAGCTATGTTGTAAGTATGTCTATCAGGAACACAATTGTCTCTATCCATTCTTTTGATCAACTTAAGAGCACCATTGACTTCGTTATGATCACAATGATATGCTAGGATTACATTGTAGGACCATGTATCTGGCGTAACTCCACTCTCAATCATTTCATCCAAAAGTTCGTAGGCTTGTTCCACCTTTTGATCTTTACAAAGCTTCTTCATGACCCAGTTGTAAGTAAACACATTAGGGAAAAGGTTGTGTTTCTTCATTCTTTCTAAGGCCCTATAAGCCGTATGCAAATCATTCTCTTGACAGCTCGAGCGGATGAAAATCGAATACGTACCTGCATCCGGGGTGACGCCATTTGAACTCATTTCTTGAAACATCTTGTTCGCTTCATCCCTTTTCCCAGCTTTGCACAGAGCTTCCAAGAGACTATTGCAAGCAAGCACATCTATCAAACAACCTCGTTCCCGCATTTCATCAAACACCTTCTGGGCATTGCTTGAGTCACCCACATCTCCCCACCCCCTTGTCAAAATGCTATACGTTTTCACACTCGGATTAAACTCACTCTTAACTTTATCAAAAAACTGCTGGGCATGAGCAACGTGTTTCCTCTTACATAGAATATACAAGAGCTGATCAAGATCATCAACTCCAGGTCTTATCCCAAACTCTACCATTCGATTGAAAGCTCGAACAGCATCTTCAGGCAAGTCAGCTCTACTATAAGCTCTGAAAACAAGCCAGAAAAGTTCCCGACTGATTACAGCACATCGAGTCTCCCTTATTTCTATAAGAAAATCCCACAAAATAGCAAATTGCCCACTGCTTCCCAAGATGTCAACGAGAATGCGATAGCTATCGGCGCTGGGTTCGAAACCCGGAATTCTTTTAGCCCAGAGGAAGAATCTGTGAGCAGAGAATCCGATATTCTTGCACCTTTTGAGAACCTGCTCGACGAGATCGGACGATACATTGGAGGAGAAAGAGGAGAGAGCGAACTCCAAGTCATGGTGAGGGCTTCTGCGATCGCTGAGGATGCGAGATATCTCACTGACGAGAAATGGAAGTGGTGAGTCTAATCCTGCGGCTGTTGCTGTAGCGAGAGAACTGAATGGGCATTGGTGAGCGAAAATACCGATTCTTAAGAAAGGGCAGAAAAGTGAAATGGAGACCTGGAATTTGGAGGAGAATGCTCTGATTGCCATTACAGAGCTCCTTGCCTGAAATTATGGTGTTTCTGAGATCATAAACCATAAAATGTGAAATTAGTTGAACAGAATTCTCTATCTAATTTAGTGGAACAGACTATGAAATCTAATTTAAATTTAACACCAAAATAAGATTTGAAACTAAACAAATTTCAGGAGATTTAAGAAGAAAAAGAAATAAACCGTGAACAGCGGCGGCGAACGAATGAGGAGGACAGGGGAGAGACAAGGAAGGGAATCGCGTGCGGTGTGGTGGCCGTTTGTGAATCGCGCGGGATTGGGCTTTGCGAGAACGTTTATATACTGCCTTAGGGTTTTTAAATTTTAAATTTTCTTTTATTTTCTTTACGTTTCTTTTATTTTATTTAAAGGGAAAAAATTTACCCATCAAAAAGTTAAAAATAAAATAAAAGAAATTTCTTAATAGTTAAACTTTTTGTGCTAAGACCTAATAAAATTATCCCTACCTACTCTTAACGGTCAAAGCTCCATAAAATAACTTTCTTAATAGTTAAACGTTTTGTATAAGACCTAATAAAATTTTCCACTACCTACTTTTAACGGTCAAAGCTCCGAGTAGGATTTAAACTTATGACCAATCGGTTAACAGCCAACCGCTTTACCATTGAGCTACGGAAGAACAACAATAAATTAGATTTCAAAGAACTCAATTCTCGTTTTCAACCCTTGACCAATATGAGTTTGAGGTTTCTTTCGTACCTCCCAAAACTTCTTCGTAGTGACTCCATTCCATACCTCATTTCATAGAGAACCTCAAAGTGGCTCTATTTCATTATATTCCATCTATATTTGAATTTCATTTATTTAATATCCGTGGACCTCAAAACTTAAAAAAAAATTCTTGTAGGTTTTTTTTTCGAACAACCTTTTCAAGCATGACCGTAACACGTGACACTTATCAGCTCCAATTCCAGAAAGTATTATTCACCAAACAAAGATCATCTTAATGTCTAAATCCCAAATCCCAAGTATTATTCTATACAAATTCTACAATGATAGGACTAAATTCTATATTTCACACGACTCCGAGCGCCCAAATAGCGTATAGCGATTATCAGCAATATTGTCGTACGCAATGTTTCTAACAAACCTGCAACACAATCAATATTCAAAATTTGAAAGATAATGCTCAAAACTTGAAGAGCTTTACATGATAGCAAGGAAGGACTTACAGTGGCACAAACTTGAGAAAAAGTGCAAGCTGAGGAAAGGGTAACTCTAAATGTTCCATTATTCTTAGAACAGCTTCAGACTTGATATAAGATCTGCAGTCCAATACATAGAATTTATCATCTTCTTCAACAGAAAAGATGCAGTAGTTGAAGTTGAGAGAATTTTTCCCAGAAAAGACAGGAAATCAATACATTAGAGAAATTTGTTGTCTTGTGATTAAGATTTTTATGTCTTCAAGAAAGATTGGAGACGCCATATCATGAATAAGATAGGCAAATATAGCTCATCGTTGTCACGGAAGCAGCAGCAAGATCAATCACACTCACACATTCACAAACAAAAATTAAACAAAGAGACACAAAGATTTATGTGATTTGGAGAGAAGAATTTTCCCTACATCCACGGGTAGCAACCAATCTCGATAATCAAAATGTTGACAAAGTGTATATATCTCACATTCTCACACTACAAAGTCTTTCAACAAAGTTCCTCCCAAATGTCACCCAACAAATACAAAATGACACTCAAACTCAATAAATCTCAACCATCCTAGACAACCCTTTATATATGCATAGATGATTCATGTATCAAAATGAGAATATGAACCAAAAGGATTATGAACTAAATGAGAGTTATGAACCAAAATAAATGAGATTATGAATCGTTAAGGGTTATGAACTAAACGAGAGTTATAATAATACATTTTCATGACAACTTACGAGAATCATAACCTTCAAATGACGAGATGCAAGCATATACCTGTCCTTTTCAACAAGAACAACACTCGAAATATCATCCGGTGCTCTTCCTGATCTTCTTAACAGCTTCTTCCCAGCTTCACTTTGGAGAGCCTCTAATCGTATTCTTCTGTCAATGTCAATGGTAAATCCACAAAGACAGGGAGCATAGGGTTTCAAGGTAACAGCTATAAATAATTTTAACCTCTCCTCAAGAACAATGATCGCCCATTTACATAAACACATAATCGTAAATCTATTTAGGCTGCAACTCAATCATGGCAACAATATTATGAAGGTACGAAATCATATAAACCATGGAGCTTGAAGATACAACGGCATTCAATTTCACCATATTACAGGGGAGCTATACGGGGCCTCTATTCAAATTTCATTATCTTTCCAAGAATTTCCTTAGAAATCAAAAATGAAAAGAAAAGGAAGACACACCTGTTTCGATCATTAGCACGAACAAATCTCACACCTCCATTGCACAAATTGCACACACCTGCGAGATTAATAAAATCATCGATACTTCACTTTCACCGTGAATTCGAAAACATATAAAAACCCTACACAACTACTTCACTTTCATTCAATTATATCAATAAGCCGAAAATTTTCATGAAATAGAGAAGAATTAGAGGTTAACGAATTAAAAAATAGTAGCAATCGATACACTAAAAGAATATCGTACCGTCAAATAGCATTATTGGTCTTGTATCTTTCTCGAAGAAGTCAGAAGTTGCTTCGACCCAATCTATCGTTCCATCATTGGTTGCAGAAGATAAAGAGACGAAAGCCACTGGCTGTCGTGGTCTAACGTGCGCCGTTGACGGCAGGACAAAACGTGCCGGAACTCTGCCGGATAGTGGAAGCGCCATTGGAGTCGGTGGAAATGCACGACTGGCTTTTCCTCCACATATTTAAAGGAATTAAGAAAATAAACTATAAAATTGAAAAGCGATAACATTAATTATTACAAAACATTAAAATATATCCTTTTAAAAACAAGTTATGTTTATATATATAAATGTCTCACAGAAATATTATACCATAATATAAAATATATGACATGTTTAAGGGTCATAAGATACGTGTCATTTATACAACATACAAATCATTAATCAAGTTTATGAGTATCTAAGAGAGGATTAATGTCCGATCCACAAGGACGATTGATTTACCCATTCAAAGGTGAGGGGCTTACACAGAATATAGATCTTGCTACGGAGGGAGCGTGTAAAGGAGTTGTGGATACTGCTGTACGAACGAGGATATCTTACACGCAGACTTGTTGAAGTCATTCAACACATTGATGATTTCAGAAAGAAAGCATTTTGATCCAAACATTAATTGGTCGTGTAGTAGCAGACGATATATATATGGGCCTGCGATCCATTGGCATACAAAAGAAATTTAACTTTTGGCTAAAAAATACTATAAATTGGCTAAACACTAGTCATACTAGTCATACTAGTCATACTCATTTTAAACATATGTGAAAGTGTAAAGAAAAAGACAACTCTAGAATGATAAGAAATGGTACGAAAATGTCCCGGATAAACCAAGAACTCGAACTAGAACCGTTGGGAGTCATTGAGTCAAGTCGAAGTCAGTTGGATAGAGTCGGGGCTGAGCCACATGCAAGGAGAACAACGGGGCCAAGTTGTGCGCGTTAGATTGGGGTTGGGTCGGTTGAGGTTATGAACTCAGAGTTGGTGGCAACGTGGGTTCAGAGCTTGAGGATCGGCGGTCAGCTTGTATTTATTAGACATTTTATAAGTAAGAGTTATGTAATAATGTTTTTATTTATAATTTTCACAAATATTTATTAACCAACTTGATAATATGCAATTAATATCTCCCAAAAAAAAAAAAAAAAAATTTAACCAGAGGAATAATATATTTTAAAAAATATAATTAATTAAATGAAACTTTTTAAATAATAAAGATTAAATTGAAAAGGCAAAACTGGACCACATGTCGACTAGCTTGCTCCTTTTACAACCTTCATGCCGGTCGGTCAACCAGTGAGACGACATGNCGTTGGTACAGGAGGAATTTATTCAAAAATATATATATATATCAGCCCAAGCCCAAGCCCAGTGGGTGGCTTGAAGGAAAGGCTAATGTATCAGACTTTGACGCACCGAAGCTGAACGCTGTGCACCCACCATGACCGCCGATGACTCGTTTTCTCTGAACGACGACGCCTTCGCGGCGAACCCTAACGTCGATATCTCCGTAAGTTATTTCGCTCTCCATCTTTTTTCTTGAGCTCTTTGTTTTCCTGTGAGATTAGAGTTCCTCTCTTCTGTCACTGTCATTGGTAGGGTTTTAAGGCCTGAATTTATTTTCCGAAATTTGTTACCTATCCCTTTAGAAGGCGCATTAAGGAAACTGAGTGGTTTTTTTACTTAGAAACTTCAAAAAAATCCGATGAATTAAGGGTGATTTTGTTCTCTGGATTCTGAAATTTGAATACAACTTTATATGTGGCGGCGAGGAGATTCGGTAAGCTACTGTTATTAAAGTGAAGGATGTACGGATATGGAGTCCTCTCATAGGCTTCAATGTCAGTTGATGTTCAGAAATTTTAGACCTGTCTGGATATGTTTATTTTTTTGAACTTTTCCTCTTAACAATGTGTAGAATTTCAGTGTTCTTCACGACTGTTTTTTTTTTTTTTTTTTTTAATATATAGATAGAAGAAGGCTGTCAAAGCAGTGGAGAATTGCTCGAGGAAGAAGGAAATAATCTTGAAAATGATTGTGAGCAATTATTTCGGATGGATGATGATGATCTTGATGATAGAGATGAAAAAGTCCTGTTAGATGGTCATCGAAATCATGGAAATGATTTAAGCATAAGTGATGGTAATGAAAGCTTTGATGGTGATATAAGCATAAATGCTGACCATGAGCATGACAGAGATGAAAGTCCTCTGATTGATTGCCAAATTGAATTATCTAGAGATCAGAATTATCCTTCTCCAGTTGCCGGGATGGAATTCGATTCATATGATGATGCCTATAATTATTATAATTGCTATGCTAAGGAACTTGGCTTTGCTATTCGAGTGAAGTCCTCATGGACTAAACGTAATAGCAAAGAGAAACGTGGGGCGGTTCTCTGTTGCAACTGTGAGGGGTTCAAAACCCTTAAAGAAGTTAACAGTAGAAGAAAAGAAACTAGGACAGGGTGTTTGGCAATGATTAGGTTGAGGTTGGTAGAATATAACCGATGGCGAGTTGATGAGGTAAAACTTGAGCATAACCATTCTTTTGATCCTGAAAGAGCTCAGAACTCCAAGTCACACAAAAAGATGGATACTACTGGGACTAAAAGAAAGGTTGAACCAACTATTGATGTAGAGGTTCGAACAATCAAGCTATATCGGAGTTCTGCATTGGATGCAATGGGCCATGAAGGCTTAAATTCACATGGAGAATCTAAAGCACATGTCTACAAGCCTAGGTGCCTGCTGCTCAAGAAAGGTGATGCCCAAGTCATTCATGATTTTTTTCGTCGAGTTCAGCTTAATGATCCAAATTTTTTCTATGTGATGGATTTTTATGAAGAAGGTCTTTTGAGAAATGTTTTATGGATCAATTCCAGGTGTAGAGCTGCTTACAGTTATTTCAATGATGTGATAGCATTTGACACCACATGCTTGTCTAGCAACTTTGAGATTCCACTATTTGCGTTTGTTGGAATAAATCATCATGGCCAATCTATCTTACTTGGCTGTGGATTACTTGCGGATGAGACGCTAGAAACATATATTTGGTTATTAAGGGCGTGGCTTACATGTATGTCTGGTCGTCCCCCACACACTGTCATCACAAACCGATGCAAGGCTTTGCAAAATGCAATAGCTGAGGTTTTTCCGAGGGCTCATCATCGGCTTTGTCTATCATATGTTATGCAAAGCATTCTTGAGAATGTGGGAGAGTTGCAGGAGTCCGAAACATTTCATGCAGTGCTAAGTAGGACAATATATGATTGTGCAAGAGTGGAAGATTTCGAAATGGCTTGGGAAGATATGATCCAGCATTTTGGGATAAAAAATAATGAGTGGCTCCGAAGTTTGTACGACGAGAAAGAGCGCTGGGCTCCTGTTTTCTCAAAAGAGACATTCTTTGCTGGAATGTATAATTGCCAGAAAGGCGACTGGATAATTCCTTTCTTTCATGGCTATGTGCACCAACAAACTTCTTTGAAAGAATTCTTTGACATATACGAATTAGTTCTTCTGAAAAAGCAAGACAGAGAAACTCTCCAGGACCAAGAGTCCAGTGAGTTGAGCCCCCTGCTGAAGTCGAGATGCCCCTTCGAATTGCAGCTTGCTAAACTATATACAAAGGAGATATTCAGCAAATTCCAAGATGAAACAGTGATGATGTCTTCTTGTTTTAGCCTTCCTCAAGTCGAGACGAGCGGTGGACCCATCATGACGTTTGTGGTCAAAGAACGTGGAGGGGAGGAGATTCCCCAAGACGGAAGGGCTTACGAGGTTATGTATGATAAAGCAGGAGGGGAAGTCCGCTGCATTTGCAACTGCTTCAACTTCAAAGGCTATCTATGCCGACACGCACTGTTCATCCTAAGTTACAATGGCATAGACGAAATCCCATATCAGTATATTCTATCGCGGTGGAGGAAGGATTTGAAACGCGTTTATGTCCCAGATCTTGGCTGCAATAACATAGACATTACAAACCCAGTTCAGTGGTTTGATCACTTGCACAGAAGAGCAACGCAAGTTGTTCAAGAAGGCATGACATCTCAAGACCATTATATGGTTGCTTGGCAAGCACTTAAGGAGTCCTTGAATAAGGTGCGTCTCGTTCCTGATAGGCATGTATAAAATGGCTATACCAATCCTGTAAATAACCTGACATTTTTGTGTACATTATCTCTCATTAGTTCAACCATGTCTCTGAAGATTCGAGTTTCGTTTTGACTTTTCAGTTTTTAAAATTAAGCTTGTATATAGACCTTATTTTTTAGTTTTTTATAAACAGAAAAAGGAAAAAATAAAACTGTTATCAAATGGATTCTGTTTTATTTATGTTGTTCAATTTTGTATTAGAACATCTATGCTCTGTTAGGCTTTTGATGTGGTTGGGTTCTCCAATTATGTCTATGTGCCAATGGGTTGAGATGGAAACTGAAACTGAAAAGAAAGGGCGGCAAGAACAGGTCCGAGTCAAATAGTAATGATTCGAAGCACCTCTTTTTACACTATTTCGGAAATCCAAGGACTCAATCGTAAATATCTCTATCCACTTTGAACATAGCTCAATTGAATATCTATGTCCACTTGAAACATAGCTCAATTGATTTAGTCATACTTTCAATCCGTTACTAGTTGAACTCACAAGACCAAATTCTCCTTCGAGTACAATAGAGAATTTTAGCCACCAAATCCAAATCCATTTTAGTGTTCCATTCCTTTCTCTCATTTATAGTGTTTATTACATGGGATAAAAAGTTCAAAATTTGTATCTTAAGGAGTTTATATCAATTTTTATGGTAAACTTTCAATTTCATCCAACACTATTGGACACTTGCTTTATTTTTGCTGGTTAAAACTCTAAAAGCTCTCTAGTTTGAAACTAGTGGTTCAAAATTAGAACTTAGTTCAAAAATACCACTCATAAATTAATTTCAGTCCCTCTTTAACGAGTGAGAGTAGTGTTAGAGTTCTTCTATTATTCAGATTAGACATAAGAGAATTACTCACTTACTTATCTATGTACTAGAAAGGAGTGAATTTCATCTCGAAAAATTATATTCTCATCTCTTTATTTGGTCAAGTCCTCAAACTTATTGATATAATGAATCAACTACAAGAATTATTCTCACTCATGCAAATCAATATATTAAAGTTCATAACTTATGATTAAAATTTGAAATATTAATCTTTAAATATTCCATAGTTCACTCTTATAAAAATGCATTATATCCCATTCACATGTCGCATGAACGATTTAAGTTAAATCACTAGGAACAAATACAAAGCGGTTGTATTAATAATTTTTTTATTTATCATATTTTATATTATAAATTTTGTAGAGTTATTATTTTATAATATATATATGTAATATTATATTATACACATATTTTAGTTTTTTCTCTTAAAAAAATGACTTAATAACACAAAATACTATAAATTATATTAAACAAAAACCATTAATATTATTTTAATTTTGGTTAATTTCTTAACCACATTTTACTAATATCGTTTGTAATTTCTCATCTCTAAGATTATCCTGTTGAAAAACAAATATATATATATATATATTATTTTTAATTTTTTTTTTATTATTATTTTTTTTTTTTTGAAGGTTGACCAATGCAGCACAAAATTTTAAACTCTATTTATGATTTGACAGAGAAAGCATTAAGAATCTATATTCCCTTCTAAATATTTTAAACATCTTGAACAAAGAACAATGGGGGAATGTGGGGAGGGCGAAATTCCGGAGTCAAAAAGGGGTAAAAACAATTAGCTCGAACTGTCCCGACTGCAACCATGCTAGAGAATAAATCAAGTATACATATTTGTCCTATGACTTAATCAATCCAGTAAAATCGTCAACGTCATCGTCTTCTTCCCTCTAGAAAATCAGTATTGCCACGCGTTCTGCGTGCTGCATGACGATCCAATTGTTGCAACATGATAATTTGAACCAAACTTCCAATCAAAGCTCTACTTGTCTCCACCTCCAAGCATCCCCATCATATCCTTATTCGAACCCATGTGCTTCATCAAGCTCTGTAGTCCACCCATCCCGCCAATTTGCTTCAAAATCTGGGGAGGAAGGACCTTACTCATGTGCTGTGCATTCATATTTCGAGATAGCGCGCTCATTTCGCCCTTCTTTGGGATCTTGAGCCCTTTCATCTTGCTCCATACCTTGGCAAGACGCTTGTACTCTTCCATCATTTCCATTACTTCCTGAACACGGCGACCTGAACCTCGTGCTATTCGCATCATTCGTGACTCATTCATGAGCTTTGGGTTTGAGCTATCCAATTCTGTTTAAAATATGAAATTCATGCATGAGGACAACAAATTCAAAAGGAACCAGAGTATTCATAGCAAGAAGAGAAGGGAAGGATATATGGATAATTTCAACTTGCCTTCATCTGTCATCGAGTCCATCATGGTCATGTAACGCTTTAGTTTCGCCTGGCTTTCCTTTTCACGTCCTTTCGGCATCAATTCAGCACTAAATCTAGGAAGCATTGAAAATACCTAAACAGACCAGTTCTTGGAGTAATGCTTATACATTGAAAAAAGTCATTGATATAAAGAAAAACTGCAACAAGAGAATAACAAGCTCAACCGCCAACTTTTCAGAATAAGCAATCAGAGTATACCAAGTATTTAGAGCAGGCCTATGTTCAAATTACAGAACACGCATTTTTTTATTCTGTGAACTGGGCTAGCTAGCACTTATAATGCTCTGGACCCCAATGTCTCAATCTTACCAATTAAAAAACCTATTTGCTATGAAAGTTGCAGAAGAAACGCTTCTGTAAATAAAAAATGTGTAGGAAAACATATTGTTAACTTGCTTAATCAATATTACAATACACCTTTGTCTTCCCCCATAAAGTGGTCGTATTGCAAGAAACAGAAGGTATTTCTAAGATTCAAATTCATTCATCTTAGTAGTGTAAAGATTAGAACCAGAGGAAAAAGCTCTTAATATTGTGAACCTTTAAGCCACACTACTACCCACAAATGTCCCTCAGAAATTTCAAAAGATCAACCTACTTTTTCTTCAAAGATATGGGAGAAGCAAACAATAAAATTACAGTGCATTATATCGAGTATGAATAATACCTGGCTAATTGGACCAATCTTCAGCAAGTTCTGAAACTGCTCGTACATAATTCTCAAAGTAAAATTTCCTTCTGAAAGCTTTTGCAAAAGCTCTGGTTGCTGATCCATTGGCACGACTTCATGGATTTTATCCATGAATCCAGACCAGTCTCCCATGCCTAAATTGACAGTCTCTTAATGAACAGGAAACATTACAGCAACTGACGTAAACAAGTTCAGATTTAATAGAAAAATCACCTAGGAGACGGCTGACAAATGGTTTAACATCAAAAACTTCAAACTCATCCATGTGTTCTCCTGTCCCTATGAAAATGACTGGACTCTTTGTTGCTGCAACACTGCAACAATAAGTAGAACATGAAGAAAGAGATTTAGCTCAATGATACTCTGTTCATCTATACATCGTTCACAGACAAATATGCACACAATCTATCCCGGAAAAAGAGAACCATAAATGCAAAACAAAATTTGACAAAAATATCCTTCTACGCATCAATTGACGAAGTCATTTGACCAGGAACTTAATCAAACAATAAATCTGAAGAATTTCAACAGAAAATTTTCATAAGGATCACAAACTACAAAGCACGGTTTTTTGCAAAACAATCTACACAGTATGATTTTTCATCCCAAAAAAATAATAATAATAAAGGAGAAAAAACAGCTTTGAAAACTTACGCACTAAGAGCACCACCTCCCTTTGCGTGACCATCCATTTTGGTCACAATCACAGCGCCAACTGCAACACTTTGTTTGAATGCTTGAGCTTGGTCAAATGCTGCTTGACCAATACTGCTATCCATGACAAATATAACAAGATCCGGTTTCTGGACAAGGCGAAGAACAGTAAGTAATTTTAACAAGTCATCATCAAATGGCCATAAAAAAATAAGTACAAGAAAAATACCGTTGCTTCAGAAACTTGACGCATTTCTTCAAAAAGAGCAGCTTCCTGTTTGTGACGCCCACTGGTATCAACAATTATGAGATCACAATTTTCTTTCTTGAATCTTTCCACACCTTCCTCCGCAATTTTTACAGGATCTGATTCCATGTAACTACAAAAGGGGAAATAGAGAATAATTGAAATACTGAATAATACCTTGATGAATAAATCAAGCACACTGCAGACAGAGAAAATTTTTGTGTATAAAAGTAAGAAATACAAACAAAGGAATAAAAAATGAGGAAATGCGCACACATATGAATAAACATTTTTATGGTCTAAATATGCCTGGAATCATAAACTAGGAAGTAAACATATGTCCCAGTTCTTTTACGGTGTTGTCCTCTTTAGAACTCTTCTTGCTAAGAGGAAACTACTTTCCGGCATCGATCCTTGTGTTTGACAGTATTGGAGTTTTAAGCTTTCTTTCTTTTAGCACAGCACATTTGTGATGTGGTTGGGGATTGGGGGAGGATGAGATATGGAAGGCATAAATCACTAATTTGGTAAAACCGGCCGTAAATAGGTGTTTTATTCTTCACCTCTCCAACTATCAGTATGCTTCGCTCCTTCGCCCCTTTCCGACTAATTATCCGTCATATATAGTTACTATTATTTAAAATAAAAGTAACTTCCATGATCACAGAAATGCATAGTCAACTCAATAATACATATGAACTATCTACCTTCCATAAAAGGGAATCTTTGCTTTGGTTGCATTCTGCTTCAATTGATCAAAAGCACCAGCTCTGAATGTATCTGCACAGACCAAAGCAGGCTTCCAGCCTTTCTTCTGATGATAATATGCATACTTCGTACATGTTGTGGTTTTCCCAGACCCTGAGTTTTAGATATTTAAAAAAGTATATACTAATCAATAACACGCAGAAAAAACTGAGAGAGTAAAAAGAAAACATAGATTCCATGCTTGGGCAATATAATTCAACAGGAATGTATTATGATTTATGAGAGAAATCCTTCATCAAAAAATAACTAGAAATCTTTCCGATGCTCAATCATGATTAAAAAACTCCAGATAGTAGCGTTAGATTTCTTCTTGACAGATTCAAATAGTGACGAAAAATGATAAGAGCAATGAGCCCTTATCGTTCTAAATTGTAGCACACCACATTTAAGTGGATCA